CAAACTTATACACTTGTCTAATGAAAAGCCACATCTCCACAAATTAATGGCTGCTGGTTGCTCATAAAACTACTTGACTGTAAGTTATTTGAGGACAGATTCTGTGTCTGAATCACTTTTGTATCCTTCGTAGTCCCTTGCACCAGTGCAAGATTGCTCAATAGATGTTTAATCACACAAAGTTGGGGCATCAGAAGGCAATTTGGGGATAGTTTATATTTCTCTTCCCCTACACGTTCCAAAAAATCATCAAGGAATTAAACATAGAAATAATCAGGTTGAATTTCCTTAACACTTATTTTTATGGTGTTTTATTATACTTACTTTACATTTCATCTAAGTTTACCATAGTATTTTTTAGAGCTTAAGCCCTTTAATCTGGTCTTTATTCCACATAATATACATTCAATACATATTTTTGTCAAATAAATAAATAAACCAATGAGCAAATAAGAAAAATCAACCTATCGAGATGTTGTCAACTCCAAACTGATAGTAATACAAAGACAAAAAGGTTTTAAAAAGAAGCAAATTGTTGTATTTTGGCTCGGTCTCAAGTTCATCCTTGTGATGTAAAATACGGTTATCAAATACGTCAGCATTTGATGCTTAACAACCAGCGAGTGGCTATGGAAAACCAACTCCCAATTAGTATATATTAGTATTAGTAGGTTTTCCTCATTGAAATTACTTATTACTTTTAAGACCATTTTATTATTTGCAAAGAAATGTAAACCTCAGTATCAAAGGAAAAAAAAACCTAAAAATGAATATAATTAGAGAATCATTGAAATTAGCATGTGTCTTGTGACTTTTTAAGTTTTTTATATGTGGATTTGCTCTTCAAATAGAAATGAAGGACAGACTCACCGAGGATGCACTTCAAGTGAATTATATCCACTACTTTTTTAGAATTTTTGAATTAGAAAGGGCTTTAGTCTCATGAACAGCCGAGGAAACGGAGGCACAGAGGGACACACCCAGTAGGCAAGAGAGATGAGATATACTCAGCCTAATAATGCCTGTATTCATTTCTAAGTGAATCTCCAGCACGAGCCTCCACAGTACATATTTTCAACTCATTTAGGAATCCAAACTGCTCCCCTGCTTGACAGAAAATAACCTTATCTTTACTCTACAGACAAGGTCTAAATCAATCGAGCGATGTCCTTCAACTACCTCTCACGGCCTATTGATTTTAATCTCCATCCTTCCTCTCTTCCTCACCCTCTGTCTTCAGAGTCTTTTCTTTCTGCCTATTCCCTTCTGCTCTCTCCATCACACTTCCACCAAATACTTTCTTTTTGAACCTCTCTTTCTAATCAAAATCTCCTACTTTCTTCTTTCTTCGCCTTCAAAAATCCATGTCTCCCTCTCCCAGAATATTTCCTTGTATGCCAGATCTCATTCTACCATTCCATCTTTGTTTCCTTTTACAATCAAATTTCCTGGAAAGGTGGCCATCTTTATGTCCTTTCCCCCTCCATTTTATTCACCAATCCCTTTCAGTCAGGATGGACTCATTCCATGGAACTGAAAGGATTCTCCTGAAGGTCACAGGAAACCTCAGGATTCACTCCACTCAAGTATTTTATGTCATCTGACACTTGTTCCCATCCCATCTCTCTTTCAGTTCTCCCTTCCTTTGACATCTGCAATATTGCATTATATTGTCTTCCCATTTCTTTGGCTATTTCTTTTCTCTTTTTCTTTGTTGCTTGTTTCTGTCATTGTTCTTTATTCTATCACTGTAGGAATTCCCCTAGTTTCATGCTCAGCCACAGGCTGTTTCTTTGTTGTATTCCCTACTTTAGGGTTTTCGAATTCTCCCATGATTTAAACTGTTCTACCTGAGCAGATGTCCCTCAAATCTGTGTATGAGGACTGAACTATTGTTCATGGTGCGGAGACATATTTCAAATTGCTAAGTACCTTCACCTGGCCGTTTCTGTAGCATCTCAAAGTCAATGTGTTCTAACCTGCTAAATCTCATCTCTTAGTTTGAAACTGCCATCACTTGAGATTCTTCCTTCTCTTGACTCCCATGTCCTACTTGTTCTCAAGCCCCATCAGTTTCAGTTGTGTGGAATCTCTCCCTTGATCTTCCTGGTCTGTGACCACTACTACTGCTCCCCTTCTTCTCTGCCTTATCTCTGATCTGTTTTGATGTGGAACACTCCACTACTCATGGCCTATAATCCTGCCTCTTCCCACAACCTGTGGTGAGAGTAATCTTGTAAACCCACAATTTTATCATGCCTTTTCCATGATCAAGTAACTTCGATAGTTTCCTACTGCCCACAGGGATTTGGTGTTAGAATTGGAAAGGTAGCTATATATAATTCAGTTTACCCCTGTCATTTTACAAATGAGAAAACTAAGGCTTGAGAACTTAGGAAGTACATTGAAAGCTTTCTGACTCTACCAAATACTTTTTTTATCTCATTATTTTGCCTTTGAAAGTCCAAGAGTGACTTTGTTTCATCGTTTATTCTAGACTCTGAGCAAAAGACAATAAGGCTACGTCAACACAACATATTTTTAAGCAGACTTGGCAGTTTTTTAATTACTAATTCAATTGGGACACTGACACTATGGTGAAACTGACTTGGTCTTCTGCCTAAATTGCCTCTCATGGGAAAAAGAATGACCCAGCTTCATAAAGTTGGAAGGTTTATTAGTCATCTGACATAGTTCTCCACAACAAACAGTAGGCTCTGACACTTCAGTGCAGAAGGGAAGTGCAAGACAGATAACAGATGCCTACACAACTCTGTAGCTATGAAGAAATGGCTTCCAAATAGACAAAGAAGGTATCCCCACACCCCCATTCCACACCCACAAATGAGAGGAGAGAGTGTTCATGAGTTCATAGGTAGCAAGAAGTAACATTATCTTAATTCTGCACCCGAGAGGGACTCAACAATAACATTTCAGTTACTCATCCAAACCATTTGTGCCATCTACTTCTTTTCCCCCTGGAATTCCTATTACTGTTGTTGTTGTTGTTGTTGTTGTTGTTATACATGAACATTCTTAATTGTAAGGCTAATATGAGATGAGATTAAAATCAGAATGGCTTGAATTCTCAAAGTTGTAATGTCAATTCTCCGCTGTATATTTTATTAGTAATTTAGTTGGAATAGGCTATCTTGCATTTCATTGTAAAACCCATACCACAAGCACAAATTTAGGCTGAATTGTATTGGGTAATATTTAGCCATAAATTAGTATTCCAAACTCAATTTCCTCATCTGTAAAATGGAGATAATGAAATTATAATATTGACCACATGTATTTGTGAAGATTGAATGCATGGATTTCTCTAAATACATTGTCTAGTAATTAGTCACTATTCAGTGAATTGTAACAGTGATAATAATAATAAACATTAAATATATACCATGAGTATATAATTCCTATAAAAAAATCTCTTTCCACTACTCTTATTAACCAAAAAATACATATTTTCCTGAATTATCAATTATAACAATTTTTGAAAAATATGTACTTGAAAACCAAAATTTTATTTTTATCTATTGGTGAGATTAAAACTATAAAAAGTAACTTACTATATTTTGAAATTACTCTTATTAGTATTTTTAAAATGCAAGCTAAAATTTCTTCTATCAGTGATAAGAAGAAGTCTGTGATAATTTTCATACATTGCAATTCTGAAAGAATTCAAATAGTTGAAAATTTTGTATTTAGGGATAAATAAAAACTAAGGATTTACACCTTCTTTAATGACTCCAAGTGCAAGTTAAAACTTAATAAATGCAAATTAACCTTCACATCTACACCTAATTTTTTATTTTTTTATTTTTAAAGATTTTATTTATTTATTTGACAGAGAGAAACAGCGAGAGAGGGAACACAAGCAGGGGGAGTGGGAGAGGGAGAAGCAGGCTTCCCGCTGAACAGGGGACCCCGATGCGGGGCTCCACAGGGCTCGATCCCAGAACCCCGGGATCATGACCTGAGCTGAAGGCAGATGCTTAACAACTGAGCCACTCAGGCACCTCTACACCTAATTTTTTAGATAGGTATTTTACTCTGTCTTAAGTATATTGACATATTAAACTTGATATATAGATGTCTGTCTTTTAGAAATGCCTTTGGGTTTTAGAGAAAAGTAATTTAAATTATCCTGATCTTTCACTACAAATCGTATGTAAAGATTGAGGCCAAGTTGAAACAAGGCAGACCTCTGCTTGAGTAGCTCATTTGTTGGGCAAGGAAATTGTTTAACGCTGGAGAAGAGACTAATGGAAGTTGCTTACCCACTAATTGGTCCCTACATGCCTACAATTTCTTCTCCTTACTATGGAACTATAGAAGGATGCATTTATATCTGCAGGAACTCATTTTTACAGAGGAAATTATTTGCTTTTATTTTAGAACTTTTTATTCTCATATTTCAAAGTAAATCTATCATCTTAAGATTTTCAAAAATACTAGAAAATCTTCCATTTAGAATTAGAATATGAAAGAGCAAATATTCTGGAACTTTTCAGATATTTTCCGTTTCATGTCCTTTCTTCACTCCAAAACACTTTTTTTTCTATTTCCGTCGATGGCTAGTCAGATCCTGGAACTATAGTCAGAAGTTTAAGTATCATAACTTACTACTGAATATCACTGAATAACATCAGAGTATCTCTAGCTCCTTAGGCACAAGATTTACAAAGAAAGCCTAAATTTCCAACCCTCACTCCCTCTGGGTTCAATACCCTAGTTCATATCATAACAAGTATCTGCATAGGCAAAGAATGAAAAAGAGGTTAAAAAATAAAAGTGATTAAAAAGAAGGGCATAACTGAAAAGTAAAGACAAAAAGAAAAGGAATCCATAGCATCATCATTAGACCTGAGAGAGAAGCCAGATCCATCTGCTATCCGGACTGATAGAATAATTCTAATTACTCACAAGATTTATTTGACTTTTTAAAATGATTGGATAACATGAATTATAAAGCACTCAATAAAAATTAACTGTTGTTATTATTTTGTTTTTTATAGGTGGTGGTGGAAGTTAACAGTGAATTTCGAATCCAGGTAATATACAGCAAATCTATCTTTTCCAAATTAAAAACAAGGAAAATGGTTTGGGAGTAAGAACACATTTTCCAAAAAAATTCATCCTTATAAGTAAAAATATAATGTTATGCTAAAATTAATAGATTATCAAAATCACCAATTTTCCCAATTGAACATCCTCTCTTTCTGATATTACAATTACCCTCTCCTTCAAAACCTTCAGTGGCATGTGAATTATGAATAAAAGTTAATAGATATCACTATTTTATCGTGCCCATTCAAGGTAAGAGATTACAGCACCAAAAATGGCACCATCAAGTGGCATTCAATCAGGAGGCAAAAACGTGAATGGATCAAGTTCGCTGCAGCCTGTCGTGAAGGTGAAGACAATTCAAAGAGGAACCCAATCGCCAAAGTAAGTATCAACACCAAAGTGTAAAATCAAAAATCAGAATGGAGGGGCACCTGGGTGGCTCAGTTGTTAAGCGTCTGCCTTCGGCTCAGGTCATGATCCCAGGGTCCTGGGATCGAGCCCCGCATCGGGCTCCTTGCTCAGCGGGGAGCCTGCTTCTCCCTCTCCCACTCCCCTTGCTTGTGTTCCCTCTCTCGCTGTCTCTCTTTCTCTGTCAAATAAATAAAATCTTAAAAAACAAAAACAGAATGGATGGTGTTAAATATCAAAAGAACCTGTCTCTTAAGTATTTTATGAATATAACTCACTGAGAAGTTATGATACAAAACAGAACTATAGTCACTCAGATTATGAAAACTGAAGCCATGAAAAGGATAAATTAAGAAATTTAGGCACTGGGGTAAACAGTTAAACACTGATGCATCTCATAGGTAAAATAAATACACATGATCATAATTTACCCCAAATTCTAGGTAGATAAATATAGTGATTTAAATAATGAATTTAACAGCACACTCAGAGGGACTATTTTAATCTGTATTCTTTCTGCCTTCACCTACTAGAATTGAATTCCTACTTTTGGCTTTTTTTAATAAGAATTCACAATGTACCCTCTTTCATACTCTTTTCCTTTCATTTCCCTTTGTCTTCCTTTGTACAAACACACACACATACACTCACAAATACATCCCCACACAGAGATATATATACACATACATAGACACATACACAAATATACACACACATTCAGACAGATATACAGAGACTCCCCAGTTAGATTTGCTTAGAGTCATACAATATTTCATTTCAAAGAAAGAATCCCAGCTTCTATAGACCACTTATTTGGGGCAATTTCCTTACTTTTCTGATAATACATCCTCCCCATTTTCAGAATTAAGGGCTTCTACACAGAGTCAGATGACTCTTGCCAACTACATAAATCTACTTAAGATTTTCTTCTAAAACTTTACATTTTAAAAAATTTTTGGATCGGGAGATCAAAGTTATATAATGACAATCCTGGTAAACTCCTTAAGAGGGCAAGGAGTTCCCTACTCTAGCACCAGGGCTAGTACAGAGTAGGAAAATAATACGATCAATTGTAAATGTTGAATGAATGAATAAATGAATGAATGAATGATGACTGCCTAGTCCTGGATTTATTAAAAATAATATTTTTTTCTTATTTGGTAGAAATAGAAATTGAATTTCTTTTATTACATTGCTAGTTATTATGGAAAATACTAGAGTTGTAACTAGAAAAATAACTATTTCCAGCATTTCCCAAAAGATAACAGGTACTTACATTTGACAGTTCTCGAGAAAGGTAGCTGTTGTTAATCACACCTAACAATTTTTATTTGCTCTCCGTAACATTTTCACCTGCGCTCTCTCTGCAGATTCACTCAGATTGTGCTGCAAACCAGCAAGTTACATACCGCATCTCTGGAGTAGGAATTGATCAGCCACCTTATGGAATCTTCATCATTAATCAAAAAACTGGTGAAATTAATATCACATCCATTGTTGATCGAGAGGTCACCCCGTTTTTCATTGTAAGTAGGCTCCATGTCAATATATATATTCAGGCTTACATTATTTTTGGAATACCTTAACTTCGGATCATATCTGATTTGATTTCAGAAATCCCAAAATTATTTTTGGTTGTCTCAATTCATGAGCATCTCATGACCCAACAGAAACGAAGAGATTAGTAGAAATGCCTTGCTGAAATGCCTTAGCAAAAACATTAGCCTCAGTCTGTCCCTGGTGGCAAGCTGGAATATCTGTTTGGAAGGGCAAGGGCCTAACTCTTACTTCTTTTTCCTTAATTCACCTGAGAATATTGGTTCTCTTTAGCTCTCAAGTAATGATTTTTGAGCCACTAAGGGAGCCTCTTCTGAGTAAACATACTTTATTATAAATCCACATTGCTCCAGCTCACCTGAGCTCAGAATGTGCTTTGGAAATACTCTAATCCATCCTTAACTGAATCATACCTCCATACTTGACCGCGGCCATGGTAAAACTTCAAACCTCATTTCCACTTTAAGCAGCTGACATGATGACCAACTTCGTTAAAAAGCCTGAGGCCTTCCATCACACACTCCCACAGTTCTCTCTCCCCTGGTTCAGAAACGTTCTGCCGTAAATCCAAAAACAGGATTAATTTTCTGCTTTTTCCCACAGCTTACCCTCAAGAGGTATCCATTGTTCCATAATCACCCGTTTCTTCAAGAGCCTTATTCTATCAACTTTGTTTTATCATCTCTTTTCTGCTTGCTCCTTGCCTGCTGCCATTTCCATTTATCATCATGGTCAACACTTGTTAATACTTAAAATAAAAGGGAAATACAGAAAACCTTCCTTGATCTTGTAGGCTCTTCAATTAAAACCCCATCCATCCCTATCCCCAAACATGTTCAAATAGGAATGGATGCTTGTGCTTTCAGTCATACTGCCTAAGCTACTTTAATTCCTTAGTCTTCTATTCCAAATCTGTATTCCTGCCTTACCTCTGACAATGTTTAACAACAAACTCTCGAGGTCAGCATGCCAACCTATTAGCTTTTCTGGAAGCACAATGCATTTTTATATGAATATACTACACAGGTAAAACAGCATACATTATACTTATATACACTTCATATATAAATAATAATAACAACAACAACAATAATAATATGAACACCCACATAGTCACCACCTAGCTTATGAATATTACCTTCCTTTGAAGCCCCCATGTGACTCTCCTTTACCCCATCCTCAAAGCCAATAGCCCCCACCCCTAATTTCAAACAATGCAAATCCCTTTGCTTGGAACATCTTGCCAAATTCTCTTTCAAGATCTTTCTCAATCATTACATCCTCCTGTGATGTCATACTATTTTTATTCTTCTTTTAAATAACTTATCATGTTACTTTTTTTCAAATGGTATTTTGAGTTTGTGTTTGCCTCCCCTTATCGATTATAAGTACTTCTGGTACCTACATTCTAGTAGGAAATAATATGTCTTAGTTTTTTTGGTTACCCACAGTGCCTAGCATAGTGCCCAAACAAAGTAAGAACTTAATAAATATCTGGACACCAAATAATTATTCTTATCTTCTCTCCTAGATCTATTGCAGGGCTCTGAATTCACTGGGTCAAGATTTAGAGAGGCCTCTTGAGCTCAGAGTCAGGGTTTTGGATATAAATGACAACCCTCCGCTATTTTCTATGTCTACTTTTGTAGGACAAATAGAAGAAAATTCTAATGCAAGTAAGTAATCCATCTTATTAAGTAAACAAGAATATACTGACTTCCAGATCACTCTTAGCCAAGCAATGAGAGGCCAAACTAAGAAGGCACTACTTCATCATGAATGTAAGAGATTAAGTATAGAAAAGCATTCAGGACAGAAAGGCATGAGAAGTCTCCATAATGGCTTTCCCTTCAACTGTGGTGGCAGCTCTAATCTGGCATACCCATGGAGCAACTCCAAAGAAATGAGAAAGATTTTCTCATGTAACTCACACAGCAGCTCTTTTTTAGATTCCTAAGGAGAAATCCCAAAATACTTTGTACAGTGGTGGCAGGAGTACTGGAAGGAGATTTAGCCTCCCAGCCGGGCTGCTCTGAAGGACAATATCATCCACTTCTGTTCATACTGACTTTTTTTTTATTATTCATTTAAGAGAGAGAGAGAAAGAGTGCAAGAGCGAGAGTGGCAGAGGGGGGGAGAGGCAGAGAGAGAGAATTTTCAAGCAGACTTCCCACTGAGCGTGGAGCCCTTCATGTGGCTCTGTCCCGTGACCCATGAGATCATGACCTGAGCCAAAATCAAGGGCCAGACCCCCAACCGACTGAGCCACCCAGGTGCCCCCCCCACCCTTTTTTTTAAACCTACTTTAAAGTCATTAGTAGAAATCACTTCCAGGCAATCTATTTTGTGACCATAATCTTCAAGAGCTTTTGTTGACAAGAAATGAACACTAAACAAGCATTGTTTTCCCTTTTTATATATGATGAAATAAATACAGGCCTTGCTTGCTTTTTACTCAAGTTACCAATTTTATGTATTTGAAATGTACTATAAACTTAATCCTGTTTGGCCCACCATGCATATTGAAAGCTGATTGTCTAAGTGGAGTTAGTTGAGAGGTACCAGAAAACCTAGAAACTAGATAGACTATTTACCTATAAGAGTTTTGGCAATCTAAAGGTACAGTGTCCTCCTTGTGGATTACTGTAAATGGCAACATTTCAACTGCCAAATATTCAGTCACTTGAGAATTAACTGCCTAGCACACTGGTGAAGATTGTCCTAAATATATTAAAAATAGCAGAGATGATATCTCATTTGAATTCAAAATTTCAACTTACCATAGTTACTTTTAACCTTTGAGTGGTATAATTTCTTATAAATTCCAAAAATCATCACATTTTACTTTTATTCATTAAAATACTAATACTATACCTATATTTTGAATAGGTATCCATTCTAAAATATCATTTTAAAAAATGTTTGTTGTAAAAATTCACACAATATGGAAAGTAAATATGGAATAAAAATCCATTCTTTGTTTTCCCTAGTACCATTCTTAAGAGGCAAACACCATCATTAGTTACTTAGATACATATGTTTATGATTATATAAACATGCTTTTGGAAACAAATGGGAAGATATTTTATATACAAATCCATAATGTAAATTTTTATTTAAATATATTTTTAACATTTTTCCATATTAGGAAATGAAGATGTCTTCATTCTTTTTAATAGCTGCATTGGATTTTACTATATGAATGTACCATAATTAAATGCCTACTGAAAAAATTTTTAAAAGAATGCTGAAATGAATTACACAAACACACACAGAGATTGAGAGCGAAAATGAGAGGGAGAAGGGAGATACTCTGTTGCATTTTGTGTTTAAAGACAGGACAACTGTGCTTGAAACAGAGTTGAGTGTAGAGATTTCTAGTTTATGAACACTGGCAGCTTTTCCTTCTTCAGTGTCCTTCATCGAAATGGCTTATAAGATTCACAGAAAAGATAAGGGATAAGACAAAGTATGTAGTTAAACAAGCACCTTTTTCAACCTAATAGTTACCTAGCACTTCACTAGGGACCATGCAAAACAGAACAATAATACACATTTATTGAGTATACATCAGTCAATCAGAACTTTCTATGATTTTCTCTCATTAAACTGATCAAGTCTCTCATGAACTCAGTGAGGACAGTACTGTTATCGTCCCCATTTACAGATGTGGAAACTGAAGCCAAAGTCATAGAGCTAGAAAGTTCTATAGTTGTGAAAGAGTTGGTCTGGCTTTAATATCATTTTATTTCACGACAGCCTTAAAAAAAAAAAGGATTATACTAGAATAAGAAAAGGAAAGGCAGAGTTAAAACATTTCTTTATTTTCTAACTATCAGTAATGTGTAAGTTCCTGATAAAATGTGGTATTTTTGTCAAGGCAAAGGTATAGAAAGGAGCTAAGCTAATGATATGCTGAAGAAGTAGAAAGGAGAAATCGTAGCGCATACATTATACAGACGAACCAACCCTAATACCTTGTTAGAAAAGCAGTATACTATCCTATAACGAAAATGCAAACTGTCCACTTACAACCAATTTTCCTTGATTTCTAGATACACTGGTGATGAGACTCAATGCTACTGATGCAGATGAACCAAATAATTTGAACTCAAAAATAGCCTTCAAGATCATAAGACAGGAACCTTCTGATTCACCAATGTTTATTATCAACAGAAACACTGGAGAAATTCGAACAATGAATAACTTTCTAGACAGAGAGGTAATTTTCTTTTTCTTTGAGTGGTTTGTTAGTTTCAAAGGAAGTGATTCTAAAAGCAAGAGTACCTAAGAAACAAAGAAAAAGAAAACAATATGTTATAATTATATAACCTTTTCACATAATGGTAATGACATAAGAAATACCTTCAGAATGAAAAAATAGGGATTCCTCAAATACATTTTAAACCGTCATTTTTCATTCAATCCTACTTAATATTTATTTGCCTTAATTTAAGAAAACTATATTCTGAAAGTACACAAGAATATACATAAGGCAGAGGCAAAAGCTCTTTTTCAAAAAAAAAAAAAGTGTGATCTATATTGAAATAGATTTAAGAAACAATTGTTATTATGTCCCCCATCTTGGCAAGTCACAATGCATGAACATGGTAGAAACTCCAAGAATTCTTACAGGCTAAGAAACTTGCTTCTCTTTCTTTAACCCAGAATACCCTAAGCTCATCTGACAACAGAATTCTTCTTTTTCCTTCCTATATCTCACCTACTGACAGTCCCCTGATTACTTTGGGAAATGTATCACAGAATCAGAATGATGGATAGCAACTGAGTAACATCTAGACCAATCTTTTCATTTACGAATAAGAAAATAATTAGTGATTGTTAGCAAGTTAGAATCAGCATGGTTTCTATTAATAACATATGGTCCCATTGAATATAAAAGTACCGACTTTTTCATTTTAAAAATACTGATAGGATTTACCTGATCTGTGTGTATTTCAAGGATATAAATGAAGAAGTTTTACTTTTGAATTTGTACTTAATTAAATTTTATTTTAATTACTATAGTTACTTTGAAATGACAATTCCGCTGTTAATGACTCCTAGGCTTAAAATAAATCAGATGATTTTCACTCTTTAATGATCCAAATCCTATCAGTTCCTAAGTTACCTATATCTCCTTTTGCACTTGTTTGAAAATAACCATCAGAAGAAACTGACTATTAATGTTTTCTCGCTCAAACTTCCTTAAAGGGCCCACTGAGAGTCCTTTAATGTCAAAAGAGGTTTAGTGGCGAAGAGCTCTAGAAATTAAAGGAAGTAAAGTCACTAGCAAGCCACCAAAGCAGATTATTTTTAACCTGGAGTTCATGGAGAAACCTCAAGATGACTCCTAACTATGAATCCTCTAAAATTATACCCACAGTTTTGAATGAGGATGCGTGCATTCATGTGTCTGGGAAAGGCTTCATTGCTTTTGCCAACTTCTAAAAATTTAAGCACCATTGAGTAGAATCAAGAAGATAGATTATCAATAACTCCACTGCTTCAGCCCACTACCCCCACCTCCCAGAAATATAAACCATTCATTATCTCTTTATTTTTCTTGCACATTCCATGGCTGATTATTTACGGCATGGAATTTTCATGTCATAAATACTTGGTAAACCTTAATCTCTCTCCTCCTAAGCATTTTGGTCCACTTTCCCCTTTATAAACTTTTTCAACCTCTGGACATATAATCAGGCATGAGGCCTTTAAATGTGTTCTTTCTTTTAAATGATGCTGGATAAACATTTTAGGAAATAGACGTGGCAACTGCCATATTGATTCAGGTGAGATCTGCGGATTTTCAATATTCTGTGTTACTGCATCTTGATCATAGATTTAAGTAAATGTTGAGCCAACATTTTAAAAGAACTTTGCATGAGACAGAATAAGGACTGTGTGGATCAACTGTGATACTTTTTTGTAATGTGTGCTTTTAGCAATATAGCCAGTATTCCCTTGCTGTGAGAGGCTCAGACCGAGATGGTGGAGCAGATGGTATGTCAGCAGAGTGTGAGTGCAACATTAAAATCCTCGATGTTAATGATAACATCCCATACATGGAACTGTCTTCCGTAAGTATTTGACCTTGAAATTAATAACTTCAATTCATTACATTCTAAAATTTGTTCAAACAATTCTGTTTACAGAGGTCCATGTTATCTTTAGTCACATACAACCCAAATGTAGACACGTACTTTGTCTTGTGTTTGTTTATATAATACCTAGGAAAAATATATGTATTTGGACAGTGAAGCGTGAGCCTATAAACACAGATTTCATTTCTAAATAATGAATGACTATTAAAATTCTTTGTAAGTCCAGGATAGTTCTTCTCTCATTCACACAATTAGTGTTAAGATTTGTTTGCTTCTCGTTTCAGTATTCCGTTAATGTTCAAGAAAATGCTCTATACTCAGATTTGCTCCAGATTAGAGTAATCGATTTGGATGAAGAGTACTCAGCTAACTGGATGGCAGTAATTTTCTTTATCTCCGGAAATGAGGGAGGTTGGTTTGACATAGAAATGAATGAAAGGACAAATATGGGAATTTTAAAGGTTATTAAGGTATGGTATAATTGTCCTAAATATTTTGTTTTCTCGGTCTCTTTCAAAATGTTAACAATTCACAAAATTGGGGGGGGGGTGAAAGAATAAAAATTACCATGTTTTAAAATGATATATGATTATAGAGTTTTTAAATAGTTTTTCTGCTTATTATCACTTTATGAAAACAGGCATTAAACTTGAAACTCTCTTCTATTAATACACTACTCCTTCACAGATCATATAAATTAAGAGCATTTCTAAAAATGAATCTTATTTTATGCTTAAGGTTTTGTTTTAGATGTTTGAAGAATACTTTTTTATTTTTTTTTAAAGATTTTATTTATTTATTTGAGAATGAGAGAGAGAGCATAAGAGGGGGGAGGGCCAGAGGGAGAAGCAGACTCCCTGCTAAGCAGGGAGCCCGATGCAGGGCTCGATCCCTGGACTCCAGGATCATGACCTGAGTTGAAGGCCGTCGTTTAACCCACTGAGCCACCCAGGCGCCCTTGAAGAATATTTTTTAAGCAGATTTCACATGGCTTTAAAAAATGTGTCTTTGCCAACATTGTACATTAATTATTACGCACTGAGAATATTTCTCATGTAAATTAAAAGTTGTTTAGTCCTCCAGTGTGTTTTTATAAAATTAAAATTAAATTACTGTAATTACAAGATTATCACATTCCCATCTCCCTCCGGCTGCTGACCAGGACTTATTATGAACATAAATATACTAGAGAGTTGGTCCAAGTCAACAGAATTCTCCTATGTCCCCACTATATTAATGATCCACTTCATGTACCAGAGGTAGAATTTCCTCTAAGATTTGAGGGGAAAAAAAATGTGACTCTTAGGGAGCTAATAGTGAAGGTTTGAGCCTGTGTTAGAAGACTCGTGGATTCTTTATGGTAAAATGTAGTCCCTTTTTTTAACTATTTCCTTCCTTCAGAATAGTCCTGGGAAATAGACTTCTAAGGAATTCTGTTCCCAGAAGAATGTGTGATCATTTACCTCAGTTATTCATAAAGTGTCCCCATGCCTATAGCTTCCATTTACTGAGGCAGAATGCAGATGCTTTCATTTATTCCTCACAGCATCCCTGCAAATTAAGTTATATGCCCATACTGTAGATTAATACACTGCAGTTGAGAGAGAGTACATTATCCGTTCAAGTTCTGATAGCTCGTAAGTGGTACAGCTGACATTCAAATGTAGGTTTCTCTAGCTATTAAGTTCATATAGTCATCACTATCCTACCTATGATTCCATGCTGGGGAAACAGTCCTAATCTATTTCACCCCAAACTACTATATTACTTTATTTTTTTTATTTTTATTTTTTACTATGATATTACTTTAAAAAATTAGTCTATTTATCCTCAACATCTCTATCGGTAAAATGGGAGTAATGTTGATTTTTCTCCCAAGCATGACATCATATATTAATTCCTTTGTTATGTGTGTGCGTGTGTGAGGTATGTGTATACATGATTTTATAGCCATTCTTGGAATTACAAATAAAGCCAACATTGGAGCCAAGATTGAAGGTTTTACTAAGTGGAGAGTTTGATGTGTGAATCGAGAGTCATCTAAATTACTCTCATGTGAAAATTTAGAAAAATATATTTGGAACTTATGGGCAAAATGCATAGTTGTTTGTGAATTTCATAAGTAGTAGATAGTGACACCAACTTTCATAATGAAAATGGCTACTTGAAATAATTTTTTTCCAGAATATGTTGAAGAAAATAAGGATTTTTATTATTTTTATACAACTATTACCGGGCTTATTGAAAGAAGTCACATTTACAGGAGTAAAATTTCTACTAAATAGTTCTTTATGGATAAAATCTGTCAAGTGATTGAACCTACTATATATTCGGCCCATACTTTGTAATAAATAGAGCTACTTTGTGAGAAAAAATGGAATGACAGAAGTTAACATAAACTGTCTTTGCACTACAAAATGCATGGATTTGAACATCTATATTATTTTAAGTTTTTAAATTGGTTTTATGGATAATTAAAACTCGTCATATATTTTCAACTTTTTTGACTAAGGATTTAGGGCAGTTGGATTTTTTTCTTACTATATTTTCATGCATTTATATTGTGTTAAAGATAAATAAAGAATAGAGAGTGTATTTGTATGTATTTAAATTAAATTAAAGAAAGAGATGTAAGAGTTTTCTTGCCTATTATCAAAGGATCTGTCTTTTTTCCAGAATGTTTTTTTTTTTTTTAGAGTAAAACTATTTCACTCTGTATTTTCTAGCCCCTAGATTATGAAGATATGAAGAATCTGCAACTTAGTCTTGGTGTCAGAAATAAAGCTGAATTTCACCATTCAATTATGTCTCAATATAAACTCACAGCAACTGCAATCACTGTGACGGTGTTAAATGTAATTGAAGGTTCGGTGTTCCGTCCAGGTTCAAAGACATATGTAGTAACTAGTAACATGGGACAGAATTATAAAGTGGGAGACTTTATAGCTATTGACTTGGACACAGGTAAAGCTTCAACAACTGTTAGGTAAGACTGACATTTTCCGAATAATTTTTACCATATGCTGAACTAAAGTATATATGTTCTTTTTAGAAATTTTAAGTATCTGAACTAAAATATTTTTCACATTTTTGAAACTATCATTCAATCATAAAAAACACTAACTACTGAATTGTTATTTAATTTAGAGCTTTGACCTTAAGAAAACACAAAACAGTTGCGCAAAAAGTAAAATGCAAAAAATGTGAAGATGTAAAATATGGAAAATACTGGACCTTGAAAGTTTGACATTTCTGTATTTATGTATTTTATTGGCCAACTAGCTGATTACCACATATCACGGTTATTCCCCTAGAAGATTTTATGGACTGATTTTCCCATTGCAAACGTGCCCAGATTGAAATCAAATAGAATTAGTTAGCTCATTTCAGTTACTCTCTTCACTTTACTCAGCATTTAATATTGATAAACTCTCTTGTACTCCACAGATGTGAGTTCACGGAGGGCAGACCATCCCACTCTCCACCCCACTCTGCTCCTCTCGAAGTTCTAGTCTTTTGAGTTTAACAAATACATAAATGAGAAGGAAATCCAAAGAAGTCCTATGAAGTCATCGTGTATATGGGGAGGGAGAGTGAAAATAGGGAGCGAATGAAGCCCCAAGCTTATGGAGAAGTAACTTCTTTGATAAGAGAACAGTTCAGAATTAGAAGCAGCCCAGGAGGTCCCAGGATCTGGGTCTTCCAGGAGAGTTCTGATGCTACCAAAACCAAATGAAAATGAGACTGCTAGATTCAAAGATTATTCTGACATCCAAGTGGGCATAAGAGATCATTCCGTCAGAAATGGCTGCCAGCAATTCATTTTTCTTAAATTTAAACCTTTTCTATTTCTGAATGTCCTCAAACAGAAGGCACCTGCCCTGAAAAAAAATAAAGTCCCTAATAATTGACAATGATATCCAGAGGTTATAACCACCGACTTGAAACATGTTTTATAATCAAAATTTCTCTGTCTGTCTCTTTTAGAAAGCTAACATTAATTCATACTGTTTCTTCAAATACAGATATGTAATGGGAAATAATCCAACTGACCTACTCAATGTTGACTCAAAAACAGGCATAATTACTTTGAGAAATAGAGTTACCATGGAACAATATAACATGCTTGGGGGAAAATACCAAGGAACAATTTTATCTATAGATGGTAAGAAATCAATTTAACTTTTTCCCTGACTAGAGGAAATTATATATACACTCGGAAATTAAAGTTTCATTTGTTGTATTTTGAGATAACACTTTCCCAACAACAGCAAAAAACCATAGAATCAAATTTTAAATAATATGAGAGACAGTATAACTCAGTGGCCAAGTCCATGAGCTCTGGAGCAAGACTGGATTGGTATCTTGTACCATCACTTAGTAGCTATGGGATTTTAGAGAAATCATTTAACCCATTTATTCCTCAGCCTTTTCTTCTGTAAAATGAGACACTAACATTAGGGATTTAGAGATATTAAAGAAGTTATTACATGTAAAGCACTTAGAAGAGTGCTGGTATTCCATGTTAGTTCTTATTAATGTCAACAAATGAAAATTTTTAATAATATTCTGAAGTTACTTTCAAATAATTAGTCCAGAAGCAAAGTTAACTTAACTTTACATAATTTTTGGAAAGTTGATGTACAACTTTGTGTGAACAATTTGGAAGTAGCATGCTTATATTACTTTTCCAAACCAACAAAAATAAAATTAGGCTGGCCACCAAAGGGATGGGGAAATGGGGAGATGTTGGTCCAAAATACAAACTTCCAGTCACAAGACAATTAAGTTCTGGGGATCTACTGCAGAGCCTTGCCTTGCGATTATTAATGACAGTGCTGTTGCTACATACTTAAAAGTTCCTAAGAGAGTGGATCTTAAATTTTCTCATCCCAAAAAAGAAATGGTAGTCATGTGAGGTGATGGTGATGTTAGCTAACACTACGGTGGAAACCTTATTGCAATATACAAGTATATCAAAATGACACACTGTGTTTATACAATGTTATATGTCATTTATAGTATCTCAATAAAATTGGAAGGGGAAGAGAGCAGGAGAAAAGTTTATCATGGAATTTTTAAAAATTGCTTCAGACACAACTACATATAAATAATTGTAAGTGGGCTACAGAAAAGGGTAATGTTCCATCAGCATCATTCCTACACTGTAGTAAAAATTATAATCACCAATGTCCAGCCAGAGTCTCAGAGTTATGACATATTTCTAACCTAATAGCTGTATAGTGGATGCTAGACTTTGGAAATCTTATCTCCGAAGGAGGAAAAAAAAAAAAAAATCACACCTTGAACTTTCAGTATTGTGGGTTTTCTGCACTGAGCAGTTCCTAATCAGAGATTATGGTATATTCAAATCCTACGGGAAGTAGTGCAGATGTGATGAAGGAATCCCTGTCAAGGTAATCTAAGAGAGAATAAAGCAACTAACTACTGCATATAAAATACAAATACAAGTAACTTCCATTCATTTAAATAGTATGTGGAATAGGACTGATTTATTTATCTAAGGTGAATGACAGCACACACAACATGGCATTTACTGTCAACGCTTCTCAGCATACGGGATGATCTCTCAGGAGCACTAATCTTCATCACGGTTTGATTTAAAAACTGAGTCACAAACAAGGGATGATTTGGGAAGTTACTGAATCGATGAAAATAAAGACACTGAAATAAGTTACTGATGCAAAAACAGTGGCTTTGAATTTTCGATGAGTACTGCATTGAATGCATTAAATATTTCTTCCGTTTTGAATCTTGTTGCAGATACTCTTCAAAGAACTTGTACTGGAACAATTAATATTGTTTTTCAAGATTTTGACTGGGGTAAGGAGGGAAATGTTACTGGTGGTGACACCAGTCCTGGAAGCAGTGAGACTACTAGTGGAAGTATCACTGTAAATACGAACGTAGATACCGGTACTGACACAAGTGACAAAACGTCCACGGATGATGACCTGGGGACCCAGACAGGGACAACCGACAATCCACTATCAAGTTTATCAGATAATGTCCATTTTGGTCCTGCCGGCATTGGACTGCTCATCATGGGATTCTTGGTCCTAGGATGTAAGTACTTTTAACAATTCTATTCATATGTGTCCCTCTTCCCCTGAAACTATGGGGAGAAGATAAGCTTTCTGATCCTTTGATAAAATATACTTTACCAAATCTTTTTTTTTTTTTAAGATTTTATTTATTTATTTGACAGAGAGAGACATAGTGAGAACAGGAACACAAGCAGGGGGAGCGGGAGAGGGAGAAGCAGGCTTCCCGCCGACAGGGAGCCCGATGCGGGGCTCGATCCCAGGACCTTGGGATCATGACCTGAGCCGAAGGCAGACGCTTAACGACTGAGCCACCCAGGCGCCCCTACTTTACCAAATCTTATTTTGTGCATTTATCAAGAAATGCCTGTTTGCTGTTGGGTCTATAAGATGAAAAAAATCAAACTGCTTGACCCCTTAGAGTGCAATGGGGAATAAAAATTTGCATTCAATTTCAGTGCCATGGGAAAGTGCCATAACAGGCTGGTTCGGATTGCTATTTGAGTGAAGAAGACAATCAGAGATGATCCGAACAGTCAGAAACGGCTACATAGAGAAAGCAAACTTGCAGAATATAACATAAAATACATGAGAAGACATCATTCTCTAATTTCACTTTTTTAGCCATATTAATTATTAACCAACATTTTAAGACTTTAGAATTAAGTATTTTATAAAAGTAACTTAATTACCCAGGTGTTGATTATCTCTACTGCAAGTAATATATGACTTTCACTTTGAACTTGTTCTTTGTATTGTTGATTGCCTTTGGGTAGCATAGTTAATAAAGATTTAAAAATTATATATTTAGGGTCAAATACCTCTAATTCAAAGCTTTCTCTAAGCCTAGCAAATCTTCAAGAAAGCAAAATACACAGGATACTTTTCCTCCTTTCTTTCCTTTTTCCCCTCTCTTACCATCCCTCCCTTATTACTATCCTTACTATGTTCCTTCCTCTCTACCTCACTTCCTTCTTGTTTCTTTCCTTCCTTCGTCATATTTTCTACTTACACATCCTTTCCTTCATCCGTCCATTCATTCCAGATCATTTACCAAGATTATATTATATAAAAGGCTCCGTGCTAGAAACATATTTAGGTGAATAAGAAAACCCAACTGATTAACAGAAAGACATTGTTAGGCAGTGTAATGTTCTCTATTTGTGCAGGAGTAATTTCAAGAAAAAAAAATCCATGTAGAGGAAAATAATAGAGGGAATAATCACCCGAAGCATGAGTAAGATTTTACTGCTGAAAGTAAAAAGGCAGGCATGTGTGTAAGGAAAAAAAGTAAAGGCATGCAGGAGTGAACACAAAGACTCAAACATATTGCCTGTCCTCCGCAGCTCTCCTTTTTGTCTCCTTTAATATTTTCCAGAGAAATGACAGTGAAAAGACTAATCTGTTTTAACGGTATAATACTATTTGCCATTTGAATACCATATAACAAATTACAATGGATTGCAGTCTAGTATACTGAAGCTCACATTGATTTTGGTATCTGACCGTTGTTCAGTTTGTTTTCTGAAGCTTTCCTAAGAATTTTGAAGCCAATGCAATGATATTAGGGTTTCAGATTTAATCATAAAAGAGCAAGTTGTTTTATTTTAATGTGGTTCCACTGTTAATATTCCAATATTCCTATCCTTTCACCAACAGTGGTCCCATTTCTGTTGCTGTGCTGTGATTGTGAAGGCGCCCCGGGCGGGGGAGCTGGCTTTGAGCCTGTCCCCGAATGTTCAGATGGAGCAATTCACTCATGGGCAGTGGAAGGCCCACAGCTGCCTCCCGGAGTAAGTGCTAACTTGTAAGAAAGGGCCTTTGGTAGGCCCCGAGACTCAGCCTTATGCACATGAACCAAGATGCTGGCGATCATGCACAGTCTGGCTCTTCTTCATTCTGGGATAGCCCATGGGGAAAATGAAGAGAAGTCAAAGGTGCATCCAAATAAGATGGAAGTAACCAGGAAAGGCTTTCTAAAATGAAGTGTGGGTTTTAAATGGATTTCAGAAGTTTTGTAAATAGTATTCTTTTAGAATCTGCGTCTATTTTGAGAACAAACCCACTGTATAAGGATAGACAGAAAAGAGCCACTACAAATGGGGATATGTTTCTTGTCTTTTAGGATGTGACCACTGTCTGTGTACCACCCATACCTCCTGATAATGCAAATCTAATTGAATGCATTGACACCTCAGGTAAGAAGGTTTTGTTTTGTCTTTTTAATTTTAATAGCTCAAATGACTAAGAAGGAATTCTGCTCTGTCTCTGCATACCTTACTATTTCTCAGTTATCTCATCTTTAAAATTGTTTCTATCATTCATTTTTAAATGACTAATATGCAAATCAAATGGGAAGGGAAAAACCTCCAGGAATTACTATTCTTATATGTTGAATTTTTAAAATCTTCCTCAATCATCAGAGAGTACTTAGGAGATGACTCTATTAGGACCTCTATAAATAGGAGAGAAGAACCACAGGTCAATTCTGGTCCAGGTTTTCTGTCTAATAGAGCAAACATTATTCACCCAAAAAAATACAGTTGACCCTCGAACAGTACAAGTGTTATGGATGCTGATTCCCGTCAATCAAAAATACAAGTATTAGGGGCGCCTGGGTGGCTCAGTTGGTTAAGCATCTGCCTTCAGCTCAGGTCATGATCCCAGGGTCCTGGGATGGAGCCCCGCATCGGGCTCCTTGCTCGGCGGGGAGCCTGCTTCTCCCTCTCCCACTCCCCCTGCTTGTGTTCCCTCTCTCGCTGTGTCTCTCCCTGTCAAATAAATGAAAATCTAAAAAAAAACAAGTATTAACTGTTGACTCCCCCAAAACTTAACTACTACTTAACTACCAGACACCTTACTGTTAACATAAACAGTTAACACAGAGGTTGTATGTTATATATACATATTATATACTATGTTCTTACAATAAAGTAAGTTGGAGAAAAGATATTGTTATTAAGAAAATCATAAGGAAGAGAAAAACATTTCTATTACTGAACTGTATCCATAAAAAAAAAAAAAATCTGCATTCAAACCCACTCTGACTTTAGCTGCTATCATGACAAAAAAAAATAAACTTCATCTATTCTCAGCATGAGCATAAAGTTGACCTGAAAAGATTTGTCCTGTTTCTCAAATTGGAAGTAAGCAGATGAAACACTATCAGAATCTTTCCAAGTTCTTGGCTGAGGCCTTGTGCCGGGGGTAGAGTTTCTCCTTGCACAGGGTTAACCAAGACTCTAACGACAACATGCCTTAAAACAGGGGTCTAGACCAGTTCACAGGCAGAAACAAGGGAACAATTCGAATTTCACAGCAAGGGAATAGCTACCACGCTAATAAAAAAATTTCTTTTAAACTTTTCAGATCTTTGAAATCAGTTGCCTTTTCTCGGAGTAAAAAAGTTAGTGATTCTCTTCTTTTTCTCTCAGTCTTTTTCAAACTTGTCATTACTTTCTTACTTTGAACTCTTTAAAATAGGAGAGACGTAGGAATGCTTGTAGGACTGCACCTTACTTAAAGCACTAGACACACTGGCCTCTAAACCTATTTCTCTTCCGGATGTTTCCATTTGTGTTAATGACATCAACATCCTCTCACCTCAAAAGCAGCAGCCCCAGTTGACTCTTCTATCTCCCTATTCTTGACACCCAATCCGTTCTCAAGCCTTGTCAAATCATCAAATCCATCAGGATTTACTTATGCATTTATCCCCTCATTACATCTACCAGCCTTTACACAAACCTGGAACAAAGCACGAGCGCCACCAGAGTCCTAAAAGGATGAAGAACACACTGTCCCTAAAAACCAAGATCTTTAAAATATTAAAGCCATGGGGCACCTATCCCACTGTCAACACTTTCCCTATTCATGGCTCTTGCGTAGTCTGAGCCATCATTTGGTCTAACTTGCCTCGAATATGGTAACAGGCTTCTAATCACCCATCACATCCAAGTGAAAACCCAAGAGTCTCCGTGCAAATCTTTCCCCTCACCACAGCCATGGCTCCTCCTCTGAAAGCCAGTGGTTCTCGGGTCTTCTTCTGAATGTCCTATGCTTCTGTGCCCTGTGTTGGGGGGTATTCTTATGCTATTTAACTTTGAGAATTTGGGTATTTCCCCCCAAACTCCCTCAATTTGAAATCAAACCCACTAACGCATAGGTTTTTATAACGCCTATGCAGCCCCCCCCTTCCAGCATGACACATAATTAGCAACAAATAATTAACATCAAACAACTAACAAATTAACAAACTGTTTAATAATATTATTTCAAACTCAATATTGTATTTGTAGCCCTGTATGTATTGTCTTTATTTTACTTCAGTGAAGAAACTGTACATTATAGAAAGTTATTCGTTTTTGGTCTACAATACACTATAGAAAGTAAACTTCATTTTATCAACACTTCTAGGGGTTTACACAAATGAGTATGGTGGCAGAGAAATGCAAGATCTGGGAGGGGGAGAAAGAGCAACAGGATTTGAACTAACAGAAGGAGTTAAAACGTCAGGAGTACCTGAGATATGCCAAGAATATTCTGGAACATTAAGAAGAAATTCTATGAGAGAATGTAGAGAAGGAGGTCTGAATATGAACTTCATGGAAAGCTACTTCTGTCAGGTAAGGTCTCAAGCGCCATGCCTTCCTCACCATCCTGTGCTTCTGGCTCTACTCCAGGCTGCCACTATTTCTCAACCAGCTTTGGCAGACAATTATACTGCTGCTGGATAAAATTTCTTTAATTCTGAACTGATCACTCTACTCCTCTACTTAAAAACAGCCAATGGCTCCCAGCTCATTTGTCCAAGGCAGTGAAGTCCAAACTCCTTAACACGACAATTAAGATTATTCATAAAATGACCCCTTCCCTCAACTTCAGTTACTCCTTACCACCAACCCCACATACCAAGTGCCTTTGCCTCATTCACACCATGCCTTTGGCTATGCTGTGCCCCTCCCAGGATGCTTTTATCCATCATCTCTTTCATAAACTCCTATTCAACCTTTAAGACTCAGTTCAAATATCACTGCCTCTCTGAAGCTTTTACTGGTAACCCTCACATCCCAAACAGAATTGATGTTTCTTTATCTGTATTTCTGTAGTGCTCTGTGTATAGACTTTATAGAACCTACCATTGCTAAAATATGTTTGTATGTCTACCATGGTTTTTAGTGCTTTGTCCACATGTTCTCTACATCATGTTGCCAGTACCTAGCTCAGTTCCAGGCACATAATAAACATTCAGTAAGTATGGGTTCAAGAGCCATAGCACACTTCCAGAATATTCTAAGAACCAGCAAGAATTAATTTTGCCATCCTCAGGTAGAGACAGAATTGTCTGTGGCTACACACCATCTGATACTTAAGCCTTCAGGGATTTCTTATCTCTGAAACTGTCTCTGATAGATCTACGTCCTTCTACATCCTGGCCTAAAATACCTTCTTTAACTCTATTGGTTTAGAGGGTGGCTGATATCTTGAAATAAAACAGTGATAAAAGCCTTTCAGATGGCAGTAGATAATAAGAAGAAACTTGTTGCTGAATCCACAGGAATGCTTCCTATCCATGTCCCTACAAATGCATGTTATTTTCATGAAAAGTACAATTCTGCCTCAAAACTCTTGCACTTTGCAACTCCTTCTGCACAGGACATTCTATGTGCTTTCCTCACCCCGCTGCCTTATTCTAACCTCTGATCGAACATCACTTTATGAGATGCTGCCCTTGGCCACTCTATCCCTTCATCCTGAGTTTACCACCTCCCGACAAATATGTTTATGTATTGTCTGTCTCATCCTACTAAAAGGTAAGCCATATGAGAGAGAGACTTCATCTGCTTTTGTTCACTACTGCATTGCCAAGTTCCTAGTTGAGTGTCCGGCAAATAGTAAGGACTCAAAAATACTTTTGAATGAAATGTCAAAATGACTTGGTTTGCTAATAAAGATATTTCTGATACTTAACCTGAAAGTTTACAATCCAGTATTATAAACGACAAAAACGAAATAAAAGTGCACGTTTGGGGCACCTGGCTGGCACAGTTGTTTGAGCGTCCAACTCTTGGTTTCAGCTCAGGTTCAGGGTTGTCAGATGGATCCCCACATCGGGCTCTGTGCTCAGCGGGGAATCTGCTTGAGATTCTCTCTCCCTCTGCCCCCTCCTGCTCGTGCTCTCTCTGAAATAAATAAATAAATCCTAAAGAAGAAGAAGTGCACATGTCTGTAGGCTTTACCTTTGAATCGAAGGAGGTCCTATTTTTAAGAACTTCCAGTTCTGAATCCCAAAATGGCATAGATCCAGAGTCAAATGTTCTGTTGTTTTGCTGAAAAAGCAAATCCTCACAGAACCACCAAATTCACTCCACTGGAGGAAGGAAAGTGCAATCCTGAATGAACCCAAATCAACTATGAGCTACCTTTTTTATACAAACAAACAAAAAAAAAAAGAAGAAAAGAAAACCCCCCACAATTTGGTGTACTTCATGTTCAGTACTTCTAGTACCTCCTTCTAAATTGGTTACAAAGTAATTCATGTGATTTTTTGCATGTGCTTTTGTATCCAAAGTGCACTATGATGAGGGAAGTCCATTTAAATAAATTTTAAAAGTCAAAATGTATTAATAGGATTATAGTTAAAACAATTTCTAACCAAATTCTTTCAAGAAATTATATAATGAGGGGCACCTGGGTGGCTCAGTCGTTAAGTGTCTGCCTTCGGCTCAGGTCATGATCCCAGGGTCCTGGGATCAAGCCCGCATCGGGCTCCCTGCTACGCAGGAAGCCTGCTTCTCCCTCTCCCACTCCCCCTGCTTGTGTTCCCTCTCTCGCTGTCACTCTCTCTGTGTCAAATAAATAAAATCTTAAAAAAAAAAAGAAATTATATAATGATTTTTAATGCATCTCTAGGAGAGGTTAGAATTTTGTCTAATATATTCTTCTTTGGTAATGCCCCCGAAGAAAAAAGAATGATAAAGACTTCTATTATTGTTAAATATGTATCCATAATCTCATTTTCTCTCTCCTCTACAAATCCAGAAAGCATATGCTTATGCAGATGAAGACGAAGGACGCCCGTCCAATGACTGTTTGCTCATATATGACATTGAAGGTGTAGGTTCCCCTGCTGGCTCGGTGGGTTGTTGTAGCTTCATTGGAGAAGACTTGGATGACAGCTTTTTGGACACACTGGGGCCTAAATTTAAGAAGTTGGCAGATATCAGCCTGGGAAAAGAAATTGAAGCATATCCAGACCCTGATCCCTCTTGGCCACCTGAGAGCACCGAACTGATTTGCCCTCAGCAGGGAACAGAGCCCATCACTGGTGGACACCCACCCATCTCCCCACATTTCGGCACCACCACAGTCATTTCTGAGAGTTCCTACCCCTCAGGACCTGGTGTACAGCAGCCTATGCCTATTCCTGATCCTCTGGGCTATGGTAATGTCACTGTGACCGAGTCTTACACCACCTCGGGCACTCTGAAGCCCTCTGTCCATGTTCATGATAATCGACACACATCAAACGTAGTGGTGACCGAGAGGGTGGTCGGCCCAATCTCTGGCACTGATTTGCATGGAATGTTAGAGATGCCTGACTTGAGAGATGGGTCAAATGTTATAGTGACAGAAAGGGTAATAGCACCAAGTTCAAGTCTACCCACCTCTTTGACCATGCCTGATCCTAGAGAGTCATCAAATGTGGTCGTGACAGAAAGAGTAATCCGACCAGCTTCTGGCATGATGGGCAATCTAAGTATACACCCTGAGCTATCAAATGCCCAAAATGTGATTGTGACAGAGAGGGTTGTTTCTGGCTCTGGCATAAACGGAATTAGTGGCCCAGCTGGGATGAGTGGAGGCAGTGCAGCTGGACTAAGTGGTGGTGGCATTGGGCTGAGTAGCCTGGGAGGAGGTGGGGGCCTGAGTAGCAGCATGGGGGGCACAGCCACCATTGGCCACATGAGGAGCTCCTCTGACCATCACTTTAGCCAGACCCTCGGATCTGCCTCCCCTAGTACAGCCCGAAGTCGAATCACAAAGTACAGTACAGTACAATATACGAAGTAGCCAGGATCCCAGCACACTTGTTCTCAGTAGTGGTGATTTAGATTCAACTCCCACCACCAAAAAACTAACAATGTGATTTATGATGCACAACTCGGTGCTAAGTAACTGTGGAGTGAGGTGAGAAACCACAATGAGAAAAATAGGTGGAAACAGTGCTGTTGGACAAGAGCTCTCCTTAGCATATGTAAACTTCTTTCTTACATTAATACTAATGGAACCATGACAGTGAACTAAAACTTGAGACAGGATCTTCTCTGTGCCTGTATGCCCTGTAGGGTCTTCTTTGCTTCTGTGTGGCCTGTCTGGTATCTCCAGCATATGGAATAAATTAAACTCAGTCACACAAAAGCACTGGCCTTAGGATGGCTATTGGCACAATTCTCCTCACTCTGTTTTGATTTGCCATGTAGCTCAGGCATTATTCAGAAAGGACTAACCGTGTACTATGAGCTCATGTATGCAGGAAGAATTTGAAATATGTGCCAAGCACCTGGTCCATTTCACAGATAATAGAAATAAAAATCCAACCATATATTCAGACCATGATTAACCAGTAAAGAAAACAAATCTGGCTACACAACCCAGCTCATAAGCCACCAAACTGGACTACCCTAATAATTGCACTAGATAAAATAAACCTCAAATTAGGAAATGTTTCCTGGGAGGAAATTTCCATAAGAGAATGGCAATAGGGTGAGATTCGTTTGGGGAAAATTGGCAATGTCTGAACCTGAATCTTAAGATGGGCTTCAGCTAAAATTCCCATGGAGCCAAGGAGTTTTCTGATTCTAGTTTGTGTTTAGTAGTAGATGCAGTGTTTATGAATATTGCATACTGGCGAGGGTGCAGGATATCCACTCACTTTTCTCCTTATCACTGTGGCTCTGACCTAATAGTGTAAATTTGCCAAGTGTACTTCTCTGACTGAAGCAAGTAACATCTGACATGGTTGTCATCCCTAATGGTAAATTACCTTCCAAGGAAGCAGATGGAAACCACATCGTATTTTCAGATGTGTGTTTAGTAAGTGTTACTCATCTATATCCAGCTCTTTATTATACATCTCTTAAGTTAAAATAATTTACTTAAGCTGAGCTGTGAAAAAAAGCCTGCAGTATGGTTAAGCTTTGGGGGAATTTTTTTTAAGGGGGTCTAAAAAAAGTTTTTAGAACATGTAAAATGTTTAATGGGAAAAGTTAGAATTGTTCTGTAAAGTAATACTGTATTATTAGTTTTAATTGAGTTTAGTACTTTTTAAAACAACCCTCTGCTGCTATTTTAAAGGGGTCAACTAAAAACTTTTAACAGAGTTGATGGTATTGTGTTAACACAAATGAAATTGCACTAGACAACCCCATATCCTTACTTTATCTCACTCCCTAACTAAATTTTCTCACTAGAATAAATCTTGCATTCCTGATTTGATTTGTCAATAAGCTCTTGGCTTACATAATGCTCCAATTTATAGATAATTCCCAAATTATATAGTATGATATATTTTTCTAGCTTCAAAATTTAATAATGTATTATTTATGATATGTCATTTATGTTTTGCTATATAGTATTACCTGGTTTAAAAAATCTCTAAATAGAATCAAAGCATTTTTAGATGGGGTAAATTTACTCTAGCAAAGTAAACGAATTTTTTTCTCTTTTCTAAATTCAGTGTTAATATGAGCTCACTAAAGTGAAACTGGATATGACAAAATCTCTTGAGGATTATTCCCCGCCAATTACTCAAATTCCCCAGGGTGTTACAAGATAAAAGAATAGTCATTCAACTTCCAACACTTGTCAAAGGGGGCTAGGGAGTGAACTATTTTATTAGAGCTATTTTGCTCTATCTTATAGCAGATGATGTCAATATTTTCAAAGCCACAATATACATCTTATTTTATGTCTGTAGACTATGTGAAATTTTGATAGTCTGTAGCATGCCAAAATGCAGAGGTATAAATAAAATCATTCACAGGGACTCTTTCTTTTATTTCTTTCTCTCCCATTTGAGAGGGGGGGTTCCATTAATGATGGATAATCTTTCCAGAAATAAAGTCAAAATGTATTTGTTGAAATATACTTGAGTATGCGGGACCCAGGAGTTTGAAGGAATAAAAGTAATTATTAGTTAATTAATTAAAGGGAATGGTATCTGACCACAAGTAGCTTATGTGTCACTTTGATTTATCATCAGAAGTGTTTGTTAAAGACTCCTGATATCTTCCAAAAAAGTTTTTTAGGTTGTCTAACAAAAGCTAGAGTGACCATCTTCAGTAACTCTTGTTATTAAGATCCATTAGTAAAAAACCATGGAAGATATAAGAAGTGACAATATTAGTTGTCAATCCTTCTAGGAAGATACTTTCAAATAAATTTTTTGTCAGGATTACACACTGATGGTCTAACTCTTTATTCTCAAATTTTAAAATTATCTTTTTAAGATACAATTCTAACAATCACTTAAAGGCCTGTCATTTTTTTCAATAAACAACCTTTGGGCAGAAATCGGTTCTTCTCTGTAGATCCTTTACTCCAACTCATGGACCTTATAGGTCATTCTACAGACCTAAGATAGGGAAATTATTTTATAAGTAAATAGTTATAATTCAAATCTATATTGCAAGCTGAATCTTAGATCAACATGCTCTTAACAAAAGGAAGGAAGAAATAGTAATTTAAATGTTATGTGTATATAGTTTGAAAACAAAAAGTTTAATGTTTATAAAACATCTGACTTTCTAAAGAGGTGGCCCTTAGGGTCAAAAATTAGTATATCGTAAATACTTTATAATTTAATATCAACCAAAATACCATCTTGAGCTAATTTTGACATTGAATTCCAGATACATCTGCTACATCTTATTAGCCTCTATGTATATTGCCTGATGTAACTGTATGTGCACTAAAAATCTGCAGAAAGATTATCTACCTGGGGATATATATAGGCCTTCATCTGGACCTCTCTTCTACACTGGTGTATAGTTTTTATCCTTATAATCTCCATTCAATGTAATTTCCTGACATAATTTTAATTATATAGCTTCAAAAATTACATATTCGTTCTAACTAGATGTTTTTAGTTATATACACAATTCATTTCTGAATTTATACCAACATCTGAAGGTCAACCAGGGTGTAACACATATGATACCCTTTGGCTAGAGTAGGAACTAAAAGGTTTTATAATCATTGGCTAAAATAGCCAATTTAGGAAACCCAAAACGAACTTCTAAAAGTATTTGCCACATTTTCCCATGCCTAAATTCCCATGCCTATTTAATAAATTCCAACCTTTGGTAGGATTTCCGGTATTTTTAAGACTTACTTCCCTTTGCACTGCAATATACCAGTCCACATACATTACTAGTCCCCATGAAATAGAATCTGCCTCCCAGTTCTAGATGGTTCAATTTATGTTGGGACAAAAGCATGAATGGATCAACCAAATAACCATCAAAAATTTTTAAAACAAGGAATAATCTATTGTTTAGCTGTCTGTATTCTTTCCATTTAGTTATATCTGAATTACTGAACACTTCATCATCAAGCAGTACCTAGTCTAACTTATTTTTCTTTTGCTATTTTACAAGTATTTTTAAGCTCTAATATTCATCTTCGGTGATGTTTAAAACAGGGTGTTTTTTTTCAGGTTTCAATATAAAAGTTCTTGGCTTATTTGGGTGCTAGTTCCTTGCTTGGTCCTCCCTTGGCTATTTTAAGTCGGTTTGTAATTTCCAAAGGCTTATGTTTATAGCAATAAAATGATTGGTATGCTTCCATTATCTTTTCTGAATGGTAAAGGTGGGGAGGTTTAGACTGTAAGGAATAATTAGAGATGGTAAAACTTATTTTCATTTTCCATTTTCTACCTCTTTTTTTTTTTTTTCAACGTTTACTGAGGAGCCTCCTCTCTAAGAGTGCTTCCCAGCAGTGTCTGGGTGCAGGCATGAGCAGCCTGGGTATGTCATTTATAACACATAAATGACAAATAGGATTTTAAACATCCGTTGGATGCTTTTAGCATCTTTATGCTTTCATCTTTCTCTCTTTCATACCCTAATGTTTATTTTTGTTTACACTAGCATTATATTTCTTTTAAAATGGATTTTCTTGGGGCATCCTGGGTGGCTCAGTCGTTAAGCGTCTACCCTTGGCTCGGGTCATGGTCCCAGGGTACTGGGATCGAGTCCCGCATCGGGCTCCCTGCTCGGCGGGAAGCCTGCTTCTCCCTCTCCCACTCCCCCTGCTTGTGTTCCCTCTCTCGCTGTGTCTCTCTCTGTCAAATAAATAAATAATCTTTAAAAATAAAAAAAAATAAAATGGATTTTCTTATTTGCCTTTCAAATCCCACCCTTTCATCTTTATTGGGCGTACATCTCCTTTTTTGCTCTCCAATACCACTTTCAGAACATGATCACCTTCATCTTACACAAAACCTTACCCTTTTCAGACTCCTGTGATCTGCTTGTCTCCCTGTCTTCTGCTTGTGTCATTCCCTGACCTCCCAACAAGGTCCTCACTTTTACTGAAGACTCAGCCAGGACCACAGTTCGCTGTGACCTTTCCAACTCCCGAGAGCATTCACAGGAACTCAACTGACCCCATGGGTGAGGCAGCCGACACCTGGAATTCTCAGTTCTCCAACCTCCATTCTCCCCATCCCACCCCAGGAGGGCAGTCTTCTGGATGCCTGTTTCAGTCTTCCCAGCCTCTGACCACTTCCTCCTTCTCCTTCCAGCTCACTTGTTCATGGATTCTGATTGCACACCTCCTCTGCTTCATCGAAGCTTCCTTGTTTTGACTCCTCCCACTTTCCACTATCCACCACCCCACTTGCCTCCATGTCTAATCAAGCTTCATGAGTTCAAATACGCTATCTCTTGGTGAATGCCTTCGAACTCCTTGCTTTGCTCTCCCCTTTTGTATCCCAACTCTTTCACCCTCCATCTCTGTCCTCACACAAACAGCTAAACAAGTGATTCAAGGCAATTGATTTTTTGTTT